AGAAAAAAAACAAGATTTAATATCATTTATTTAACAAATTAATCTCATCATCGGTAATCTACGTTAAATAATCTTTCTAATAAATTTTAATTGTGTCATTGTTTTTAATGTGTTGAAAAGTTGAAGATATAATTAATTATTATTAAAAATCTAAAATTGATATATCGAATAAAGGAGAGAGAAAAAATGGTATAAAATAAAAACAACGACAAAATATAATTCGACTATACAAAAAGAAAATCCAATAGATTTACATTAACACCTCTCCCCCCGTTCATTGCTATGGACGCATATATGCGTCCAACGAAAATAATTCTCATATAATTAATCAAAATTAATTAAACATTAATAACAATATAACCAATTGAAAAATACGATATTGAAAAAAAAGAAAAAAGGTCAGATTGAGGAAAAAAAGATAATCGATGACAAAAAAAAAAAAAAGAAACAGAATAAAAAGTAAAACACTAATTAACACGTAGGAAAATTTTTCTCAACAGTAGAGTGGTGGTGGTGTTTCAAGGGGTCAGGAGGGGAAGATTGTTGTTAAAAAAAGACAAAAACACGTGAACGGAAATTGAACGAAAAAAAAAAAAGAAACTAATGTCAATATATATATATATATTTGGTCTTGGTTCGGACTCGTGGACTTTTATCGCGATCGTAAATGGCTTAGGAAAGTGGTGGCCGCCGCATAAGATATCCGACAAACTGACGTGCGTGCATAGGCAATTTCATTTGGTTCTCTTCATTGGACGTACGGATGGATGATGCCCTCCTCGTATCGTGTTAAACTGACGCAAGTACGCGAGCATACATTATCTATACTAAAACTTTTTAACTGCTCGGTCATCCATCCAATGACGGCGACCTTGCACCTTATCGGCGTAAATGTTCTCCTCTTTCCCTCCCCCGCTGCCCCCTCCCTCCTGCCCACCTGCCCCCTGCCCACCCCCTGTCCCACCTTCTCTTCTATCCCGCACAAATGTATGTTAGATCAGGCAACACACATGCGACCATGTTTTTTATCGCCAATTCTCTGTTTTTTTGTGTGTGTGTGTGTGTGTATGTATCACGAGTTTAATAATAATTTTAATAATAATCTACTCATCATTATTATCTTTTTTTTATTTTATTATTATCATTGTTTTGTGTCATAATCGTCAATTATTATTGTTCTATAATATAAATATGATGTGTTTGTATATAGTAATTTCTAGTTCTTCTCTCTCTTCTTGTGATTGTTATTATTTTTTTGAGGCGGGGGGGGGGGTTTAAAATTTATTTTAAAAGTGATAGAATTAATGACAATTTTTATTGTATAGGTTTTGACGAGATGATTATCAGATGATTAAATGATACATGGTTATTTTTTTCGTTGTGATTATTGTATTGGATTATTCTGTTTTTCTTTTTTTAATGGGGTTTCATTGAGAGAGAAAATTCATTTATTTGATATGTAACGATATATTGTGTTCGAGAGGGTTAGTTTGTTTTTTTTGTTGTTGTAGTTATTCATTAATTATATTAAAGACAACAGCATCATATCGTTGTCGTCTAATAATTAGAAACATTTTAGTTGATCGTTTAAATAAATCGGATATGCGTTTGTACATAAATCAAATTAGATTATTCTATTGTTTCAACGTATGCTTATTTTTGCAGGAACGAACGAATACTATTTTTCTTTTTTTTTTTACCATAAGATTTTCAATACGTTTGCGTCATTTATTTATTCCTCTTTTTTTTCTTCTTTTCTTTTCTTTTCTTTTCTTTTCTTTTCTTTTCTTTTCTTTTCATAAATAATTAATTTCTTTAACGTGTGTTCGTTAGCGCACACACGCACACACATATACACACACATCATACGTAAGATGACAAATGTAATAAATAATGTGTGTTGGTATACGCGGTTAATATTTTTTTCTTCGTTTCCTTTCTTATAGAAAAGATTAAAAAAAAAAAACAAACAAACCAAAAAGGAGAAAATATTTTCCAATCGAATTTTGTTGTGTTTTTTTTTTGTTCGAAATAAAATAACAATAATAATAATAATAATGATATGCCTAAACGTACTTTACGTTTAAAACTCGATTCGCGCATTACGTTTATTCTATTAAAATTCATTATCAGTTATACAATTGATCGCGTAACATCTCTAAACAACGGTTAGCAATAAATTTTCATTTTGAAATATAAATGAACATAGTTGTTAATAATAAGTTGAAGAATATATAATGAGAAGAAAAGATAAAGAAAGAGAAAGAGAAAGAGAAAAGAAACGTTTGAAGTGTCCTTGCATCGGATTGGTAGTGGTAGAAAATGATGATGATGACATAGGGGACGATGACGAAGACTGGAACGAAGAAGATAGTATAGACATTACATTTGGCATAGGTACGGAGTCTGAATAGATAGTAAACTCGTTAATTTAGTAGTGGGAATTAAATGAGAAAATATTTCGAAAGAAAGGAAAGAGAAGATAAAGGGAAAACGTTCGATCGAAAGATAAAAGAAGTTAAGTAAATAGTTTTGAAAGAAAAAAAAGAGTAAGAAGACAATTAAATGAACGATATTTATTAACTATAAAAGAAAGAGAAGTTAATATATATATAGTTATATCTTATAGTTAATATATATAGTTATATTATATATATAATATTACTATATATATTAAGTTAGTTATATTATTATATTATATTATTATATCTCTTATATATATAATAATAATAAATAATGTAAGAGAAAAATATAAAAAGATTCGTAAGCCGTTCGTAAATGGCATTTATGAAAATCTCATATTAAATTTTAATTGACAAATAAAGAAAATTAAATAAATAATATTAATTGTAAAAGAAAGTAAAAGAGAGAGAGAGAGAGAGAGAAGAAGAAGAGTACATCGTTAATGATTACAAAAAAATATACGAGAGATAAGATAATAGAAAATGTAAGAGAAAGATTTTTAATACGTTTACTTTCAAGTGGAATTTATTTTCTTGAAAAATCTCATATTAATTCTAATTGACAAAAAAACACAAGAGAATAATAAATAAATAATATTATCTATAAGAGAAAGAGAGAATAAGAAGAAGAGTACGTTTAATTACTTATCGTTAAAATTCATTTAAAGTAAACCATAAACTAATATCCACTCACACTCTTTAAGACTTTAATCAATTTACATAGGTCAGTATCTTATAAAATTGTTATATTGCAAATATTAATATAATCAATTGTAATACGTTACATATTAACTAATATATTTGTTTCACATTCGAGAAACACATATCTAACAATCCTAAAAAAAAAAACAAATCAAATAATAAAATATTAATCGAAAGAAAATGATAGAAGAAAAAACTAATAACAATTATTACTATTATAGAATAAAACTATAAAAAAGAAAAAGAAAATTATTAAATAAAAAATTCCCTCCTCACCTAAAGAAAGATGACAAAAGAAAAAAAAAAACAAAAAGAAAGAGAGAAAGATTGAGGAAAAGAGAGTAAGAGAAGGAATTAATAATCGACGAAGAGTAAAATACATATACACATACACACGTATACGGTTTGTAGCAGCGGCAGGTGAAAGGGTGGGGATGACCGTAAGAGAGTAGCAGCAGCAGCAACGTGTGTTGAGAGGAAGGAAAAACGGGAATGAGAAAGAAAGAGAGAAAGAGAGAGAAAGAGAGAGAAACAGAGAGAGAGAGAGAGAGAGGGGATGATGATGATGATGATGGGGAAAGAAAGAGTGGGACGGGTGTGCTCTCTGCGCTGACAGTGTTGGTGGTGGGGGTGAGGGCGGTGGCGGTGGGGGTGGTCGTAATGTGTTGGTTTGGATTAGTGGTGGGGGAAGAAGAAGAGGGATGATGAGAAGAGGCTTGCACGAGCTGAGAAATTGTCAGAATACGTCGTGACTTCTCAGTGGAGAGTTGTTACAGGTTTAAGAGGCTCCCTCATCGGTGTTGTATTTTCACAATCTCTCGTTAATATTATTATTATTATTATATTTTTTCTTCATCCCCCGTGCATTAACAATATTTTGTGCTCGTGCGCGCGCGTGTGTGTAAATTTGTGTGATTTATTTTTGTGTATATGGAATCATCATAATCACATCGTTCAGAGAAAACAATATACGGGATATTTATATATATATATATATGATACGATTTATCATTTGTTCATATAATTTTTTTCGGGCTACGTGTAATATATATATGTATATATTTACGGGTGTATATGTGTATGTGTTATATAGTGAGACTGATTAAATATATATATATATATATTTAAGTTCAAAATTGTTCATCAACTTGCCTTCACGTTTATCGTTGTTTATCGTGTATATATATATACATGTACATGTGTGAATTAAAATAGTTATACATGTCTTCCTTGAGACTCGTGTCGGTTTTAACAAACTATTATAGAATAATACAAATAAATAATAAAAAAAAGTAAGACGCATGGGGAGATAATATAAAAGTGTTTAACGAAAAGGGACTAATAGAAAAACACAAAACAAAAAAAAGAAGATAGATAGATAATATAGTGTGTTGGTTGATTGGTTCAGTGTATTCGTGTGATGCTGCTCGTATACATTTGGATTAGGTGGCGAACGTTATTAATTGGAAAAAAAAACTATTTTCCTGACTATTGACAAAATATAACAAACAACAAAATCAAATTCAACTGGCTGCTTCATACCAAATAGAAAACAAACATATATATGTATATATATATATATATATACATATACATATATATAATATATATAAATTAGAACATACGAATAGGAAGATTAATAAGACCTCCACGTATTTCACTGTTATATTGAGTTATCGATAGTAAACAGTAAATTTATCGATTTTACGGACACGGTGGTACCGATGGTGTGAAGCCTACTTCTTCTTCTTCTTCTTCTTCTTCTTTCGAATCATCTGCATACAAGGAAGACAAAATTATTCTCACATTAAATACGAAGAAGAAGAAGAACAACAACAACAACAACAAAATATCATTTTATTCGGACTTTGAATCTCGTATCTTCGTCATTAGAAAAGGATGGATTATTCTACAAAAGGTAAGCCAAACTGATATATATATATATATATATATATATATATATATACACACACACACAGACACACCTCTCCGTTCTGAATTATTACAATTATTTAATTATTATCCTATCTTTTTTATTCTCTATAACCAATCTCTCTCTCTCTATCATTTTATTTCACCAAATGCATAATGTCACGTATACTATGATAATAATTAAACAACCGGGAGGTCGTACGTATCTCGTATAACGATCGATTCACACAACGACGATAGTTTCTTCCATCATCATCATCATCATCATCATCAGCATACGCACGCATATATATGTGTGTATGTATACATTTATTATATATCCATACAATATCTCTACGTGTTTTATTAACAACCTTGATTATAACTCTTTCATTTCAATGAAACCCTTTTCTTATTTTTTTATATCTTTTTGCGTATCCTTCAGATTATTGAAATCCTATAAAGAAAATCAAGAAGTAATTAATCGAATAATTTTCTTTTCTCGATGCGTTAAACAGTGGAAAAATTAAATGGAAGGTAGTTTATATGAGGAGGGGGGAGGGGGGAGGGTAAAGTGGGTGGTTGGGATTATTCTCGATTAATTAATTGGAATCAACGGGGCGCCACGTTGTGCACACCCATCACCATCACCATCACTACCACAAACACAACGTTCGTAGTCTACTACGAGCCGTGAATAAATATCCCATTGTTAGCGTCTTGCAACAACGACCTCCGGCCTTTGAATTCGTACGTGCGCTTAGGCGACTCGGTCAATGTCATACGTGTATGTTCCCTGCACGATCTAAGATCCCGTAAGGACCGTTTTCTTCCTTCTCCTTATTTTAATCATCATCAGCATCATCAGCATCAGCATCAGCATGTTACGTTAATCATTATCTATATATAATTAGTTATTTCTCTCGTTTAAAAAATTAAATTATTAATAACGGATCAAGAGATAAGGAAGTTTAGATGTTTAGTGTTTTGAATATTACAAAAATGTATGTCTGTTTAAAAAAGATGCTGAACTTTAGAGATTAAGTTGCTGAAGAAGTTCAATTAATCAAAACGAAGTTCTAGTTCTTTTGAATGTACAAATTTCCCTACGATACTTATTTATTAATAATTTTAGTTTTTGGTGAGACGAGAGAAATAATTCATTGAATTATTAATAAATTTGTTTGATAGGGAAATTGGATATTATAAAGAATTAGAACTTTATTTTGATCAATTGATCAATTGATATTTGATTCAAGTTCTTTATAATGTCCAATTTCTCTCTGATAAACAAATTTATTATCTATATATTTATTCTTATTATTAATATTTATTATATTTCATTTTAATTTGGAAAAGACCACCCATACCACCACCACCACCCTTCTCTGTCAAACTATTCCCTTTCATCTTATAATTAATACTAAACTTACCGATATTTCGTGTATACTTATATTATTCTTTATTATGCACGATTGGAATGAGATTATTTTAGATAAATAATAAAATAATATATATAAGTATATGAGTCGTTCACATTGTACAAATCGATTAACTTCATTAAACGATAAGTATGGAAATGCGATGATATAATAATGTGCATTGATTTTTCAAATTCTTTTTATAATATACATTCAAATCAATTTTGTTGGAATAAAAAAAAGAAGCGCTTGGTAGGTGCATTTGTAAGTTGCATTACTGCACTTAATTACTCAACAAGTTAATCAAAAAAATGATCTCTGAAATGAATTATTTATTATTCAATAGGTAAAAAGAAAATTTGGTCGTTTAACGGTGTTAAACTTTTGTGTTTGGTAAAATTTGTATTAATGTAAAAAGATTTTTCATTAAGTCGAGTTAATCGATTTGTACAATGAACGGCTCGTATTTTAATATAAGAATGAAATTTCGATTAATTGGATAGTATTAGAAAAATCATTTGATTTTATTTACAAAACGATTTTTATATAAATACGTTCGGTGTGAGTTTTATAAAATTACAAAACTTTTTTTTTTACGAATTATCGCATCATTACGTATTACAAGCTGCTGCGATCATTTGACCGCGAGCTTTTAGTGTTAAAATAAAATTGTAAAAAAAAGATCAATCCTGAAATTCTTTAAAGATAATTACTTAACAAGTTGGAATTAGATCGTTCGATTTACCACAATACGATTTAAAAGATAATATTTAAACTTTCATCTTACGTTCGATTGAAAATTTCTTTCTAAAATAACGAAGGTGTATTTTTTCTTTTATTTTAAATTTGAATTCGATATGAAAAAAAGAAAATATATACATGTGTGTGCGTGCGTGTGTGTTTTTTTTTATCTATGAATAAGAAAAACATTTATATAAACGTTTACGGTTTCTCGTTAATTGACATGAACTTTATAATTGATCATTCTCGTTAAGAAAGATGATACATTTTAATCTTATATTCCATTATATTGAAATCAAATAAATAAATAATTAAATAAATACAAAAAATTAAGAAATAATCTTAAGAAGAATAAGAAGAAGAGAACAAAAGTTAAGAATAAAGATTGTAGATAAATGTAAAGTCCAAAGTCGATTAACGGAAGATACTTTAGGTGGGAAGAAAAAAATAAAAAAAGGGAAACCCATTTGGTATCGTCATTGCTATTGTGTTATTGTTTTTTTGTAGATATTGTTTGTATAGAGAATTGGGAGATGGGATCGAGGGTAAAAAATGTAAATGTAAAAATAACGAAACGTATTTCTTTGACCGATGTCTCTTAGTCGAATCATCGTTTCAGTTATTTACCTTTGCTTCTAATCTTTCGATGGTCATTAACTGTAAGAGTAAGAAAAAAAACAACAATAGAAAGATAGGAATAGAAAAGAAATAAAGAGAGAGAGAAAGAAAAAATACGTGAGCACAAAAGTCAACAGAGATAAGGACCCTTTATGTTTTTCCCCTTCCTTATCTTTTTTTCCAAATATTTCGAAATAGTAAGAATTCATCGATCACTAATGTTGTTTCCTATTCACCGAAATGTTTTCTCTTCCTAATATCTCTCTTTCTCTAATGTTATTTGATTTTTATTTTCTTTTTCATTTTTCACATACGAAGAACACCTTCGTGTCACATCTTTTTTAATCCCTTTTAACACTTTCTTTCGTTTTTTTTTTTTAATATATATATTTGTCATCATTACACTCGTGAACACAACACTGAATGATTTTGTAATCAAATTTTTAGATAGATAGATAATACTTTGTGATAAAATAAAATAAAATAAGATATATACATATATATATAGATATAATATATGTGAAATAATGAAAATGAACGTGCGTAGTAAACGCGTTTAGTTCAGTTCGGTTTCGTTCGGATTTGATTCGATTCGATTCGATTCGGTTTGCAAGGTAATCGTATCTCTGTTCTCGAGAAATTGATCCGCACATTGGAATGTTGAGACTCGATAAGTTATGAAGATAATCTGATCGGACGATTTAACGACGTAAGGTATATTACCACGAAGGTAAAACCACGAAGATTACGAATCATCATTTTGATAAACGATTTAAGAACGATTAGATGGGTAACATTATGGTTTCGTTTGATAATTGAAAATTTGGAACATTTACTTTCATTCATTTTTAATTTGTTTGTAATTAAAATCTACTTATGTTATCTCTCTCTCTCTCTTTCTCTTTCTTTCTTTTCTTTCTGTCTCTTTTTCTATCGTTTTCTTTCTTTAACATCGCGTGAGAGAATATATAATCGATAAGAAAATTCTATAAGAAGAGTAACAGAGAGAGAATTTCGTTGAAATATTTTGCCGACTATAACAGATTAGAAAAGTACGTCGTCGTCATTCTTTCTTTCTTTCTTTCTTCTCATTCTTTTACATTTATTTTTATTTCTTATACACGTTTATTTCATCTAACCTCGTGTCGTTTAATCGATCGTTTCGATCGATAATAGATATTATTTCACTAAACGTCATTTTTAACTATAATTATCGAATATCATTGAAATTATCATTAGATTCTTTGATATAATCATAATTTCCTTTTCTTATATATATATATAATATATAAGATATTTATTATATATTGTATATTATTTTATATAATATCAAAATTATTAAATAATGTATATTGTATATTATTTTATATAATATCAAAATTATTAAATAATTTTTGTTTATTTATCAAATCACATGCATCGAATAAAAATGATATATATCCAAAATAATAATATAATAATAATAGAAAATAAATCGATATTATTTTGTATCTACAAACAAATATTATCGTTTTATTCGTTTAATATTTAATTTGAAATGAAATATTCAAATTAGTATTATACAAATTGATCGATTAGAAAAAATATATAACAGGGACGATGTGTAATTTTTATTTTGAATATATAACGAATAATTTTGATTAATTTGAAAATGTCAAATAGTGGTATCTATTGGTAAAAGAATTGTATTCGTTAGAAAATTTGTGTGTGTGTGTGTGTGTGTGCATAGATAGTGAATAGAGATGGCCGCACACAACGGCTACGATCTATACACGTTAACGACAGGTGTGGAGGAGGTAGGTTAAAGGTAGGTATGACAACGGGAACGAGGTACATTCGGAAACACTCGGTTGGGCCACGTATACGAGAGGGATACTTTGTCCGACATCTTTCCTTCTACCCTCTATCACCCATAACTCTGTATATACAATACTGTAAAGTTTCATTCCAATTCCTTTGTTCTCTTTTTTTTTTCTTCTTCTTCTTCTTTCTTACTGATATTTTTTTTTCTTCATTGTTTTATACCAACGTAAGAACGAATCATTATTCTATCTATTTTATTCTTATTTTAAATTCAATCAAAATAATTCAATGCAAATGTTTCATTAATCTATTATTAATTAAAGAATTTTTTTCTCGTATTATCGGAGAAAAGTTTATAATATATATATGTATAGATAAATTATATTTCGTTGAAAGTATTATCATACATTTCGTTGATTATTAA